CTAAATCCCCAGCCCCTCGCCTAGATATTTCTTTCTCTTTTCTTTCCTTCCTTCCTTCCTTTATTTCTTTTCTCTCTGTGTAGACATTTCTTAATTTGGGGAGAAAATTCCCAAATCCATTTATTCATTTATCCATTTATTCAACAATATTGTTGACTAGACACTAAAGATACAACAGGAGCTGGGCGTGGCGGTGCACGTCTGTAATCCCAGCACTCCGGGAGGCTGAAGGCAGGAGAGTTTGAGACCAGCCTGGGCTACGAAGTGAGCTCAAGGTCAACCTGAACTGCATAGTGAAACCCTGTCTCAAAGACAAATAAAAAAAAGATACAATGGGAGCAAAAATAGCTATAGTGTCTGTTTCCAAGGAATTTACATTCTACTACGGGAGAGAAGTGTTCATTAAATAATCATACAAATGAGGGTAAAATTCTAATTGTGATAGGTGCTATGAAAGAGACAAATACAGTTCTATGAAAACATACTGTGGGGAAGTTAGAGCGCTTAGGGATCACTTCTCTGAGGAAGTCATATTTTAACGAGCTAAAGGATCACTGGGTACTACAGCAGCAAAGAGGGGCAGAGAGACAGCATCAAGCAAAGGATCACTGGGTACTACAACAACAAAGAGGGCAGAGAGACAGCATCAAGCAAAGGCAGCACGGAGCATTCTGTGTCAGGGTGGACTGAAAGAAAACTACTGGAGCTGAAGCTGACAAAGAAGAAAAATGACACAAGGTGTGACATCAAATTAGGAGGCAGACAATGCAGCTCGTAAAGGCCAGCCTAAGGGTCTGTGTGTGTGTGTGCGTGCGTATGTGTGTTACTATGGAGTGAACCCAGAGCCTCATGTGTAACAGGCAGACAGTTTACCATGGAACTACTCCCCAGTTCCTCACATTTTCTAATTAACGAATTACTGCTTTGTGTTTGTGTCTTTCAACTAACACTGTAAAACACTACATAGTGTTTATGTATAGCGCTGCTGTGTAATATTGCACTGTGGGAATACACCACAATTGATCTTTCTTCCTTTTGATTGACACATGACTATTTTTAATTTGGGGCTATTACGAATAAACCTTCTATAACTATTCTTGTCGAGGCCTTTTGTGAACATAAACCCTCACTTATTTTAGGGTTATAATGCAGAAATAGAAATGCTGTATCAAAGGGTATACATGTTTAAGGTTTGGGGTGTTACTCAATGATAGACCATGGGCTCTACCCGCAATACTTAGAAAACAAAACGGGTACACATTTAGCTTCAATAGGTAACTGCCACAGATTTTTCTAAATTTGTTGTACTGCATTACCATTAGCAAAGTATGAGTTCCAATCTTTTTATCTTCTCACCAATTCTTAGTATTCAGTCTTTTTAAAACTATCCTCGTGCCACAGATGGTGGTACTCACCTGCAATCCAGCTAACCAGAAGACCTAGGCAGGAGCATCACAAGTGCTGGCTCAGCCTGGGTTCAATCCCCTGTACCTTAAAAATATCACAAATTTGAATCCAGTTTGGGCAATTTAGGGAGAACCTGTCTTATAGTAAAAATAACTGGAGTATGTAGCTCAGTGATAGAGTGCCTACCTAGCACATGTAAGGCCCTGGGTTTGATTCCTCAGTATTGCCCAAAAAAGCAGATGTGATTTTTGTGTGTGTGGTACTGGGAATTGAAGCCGGGGGTGGGGGCAGCTACCACTGACTTACACCTTTAGCCTTTTTT